TTAAACATAATGGAACAAATATCATATTATTTGTGTTTTAATCTGAAATCTGCGTACGAGATTAAGTTACTGATAGTTAGAAACATTGATTTAGACTTTAGTCATTCAAAACCAGTAAAAATGTTTCAGTAAATTATACAGATAGTTAAACGTTACAAGAAACATCACTGAAAGCTAGACCAGTTGATCAGTTTCTTGCATGTTCTTTACTAAAGTGAGATAATACGCTGAGATGAAATATACACTATCCGTATCGGTAATTATATCTCGAGATTATTTATACCGTTACTGTACACAGACGTCATGAGACACATCAATGGATATGTACGTATATGTGTGGAGATATTAACTATAAAGAGTAATTTAAATATTCTACATGTTCGGTGTTTTGTGACAGGTGTTTCTATTGATTGGTATGTTAGACAGAAGCAGGAAAATAATGACAATTTTATGATAATGAATAACCTAAATATATGAAAACACATGGAAATATCTAATACCTACCTTTACATACACTTCCATGGCAAATAGTCTACATAGGATGTAAAATGTTTTCAAGCTGTTCATAGAAAAGGAATCTTACAAAATATGTGCAGTTACAATAAAGTCTGAAAATAAATATATCAATTTGACTTTGATACTATAGCAGAATTTCAAAACCTGTAAAAAAATTCCTGTCAGTAGATTTGATGTTTGATGAACATATCCAGTACAAAAATCATTCATGTTTTGTTGTATCCAAGAATGGAAGGATATTAAAATTAAATTGTCACTACGTTTCTTCCCTAGTTATATACCGTATCGTACCTTCATCATATGCTTATAACCTTTTTGATTAGCTTAAGGTTACATCACTAAATCCAAATTTACTGAAGTTTTACAAAGGCAAAACTATTATTTCCATTGAAAGATCAATTGGCAAAAACATTACCCTTAGATACACGAAAATGCCGACACTGCTGGAGTATAATAGTTATATCTACCTTAATAGTGTTATCTTTCAACCATCATTCGCTACATTGCCCCCATCACTAGTCATACAAGTCTGTGATGAATTACAATTGTTTTATCAGAATGAATGGACTTGCTTTACATTAACAAAGACGATGACTTTAGTACTTATATTCTCATATTGTATGTTTTGTCAAATACACAATGTACACAAATATTGACAGATAACAGTTGCCTGGAGCTGAAAGATTGTTTTTCATTAAAGTCTGTCGATAAAGTCTTCACAACAATCCAACCTGGACATATTTCAAGTACTTATGAAATCGGCAGAATGATAACGGCAGTGCAATCAATGTCTTTGTGTGTGTGTGTGTTTTTTTTCTCTCTCGTTTTCGTGACGATTCGCGCTTTTGTATCCAGTAAAGTTAAAAAAAAAAAAAGAAAAATAAATAAAGGGACTTGATATTACCTACCAATACATAAACAATTCACTTCTAAATATGGATAAACAAATCACATAATTCGTCTGTTATCCAGCAAATTCGCACGTGTAATATTGTTGCATGTATCATTAATTTAGTACACCCTGGAGTGATTTTCATTGCCTCCGCCCGTCAGTCGATTGTAATAATATTGACAATGACGTTACGTCATGAATAGCGTAACGAAATGGCTGCCTCCATTTGCTTTATCCTCCATATCTACTCAACAAAACCTGTTGTTATGTTGCATTGTTTCTGAAAAATAAGTTAATTCTTTTTATTTCTTGGTATTTTATGGAAAATAGTCTTGAAGGTATCTTTCTTAGTATTATTCTTGCTCGCCAGCGTTTAACACTCAGTATGTATCAATATATTGTAAATATGGACCTCGTAGTAATATATGTATATATTTTTGTGAGTTTCAACAAAGGTTTCATGAACCAGACACTCCCACAGAAATCGTCGGACATGGCTGTATAAACCTGTAAACAGTAATATTTACGTTAACTTCAGAAAATCAAGAACATCGAGTTGTGTCCCTTTGCCCATTATTAGTCAAGCATTTCTTGCCATTTGAACGATGAGATAAAGAGTAACACAATCTCGTATACCAATATAATATTCCATATATTATAGTGTAATGGATCATAAAATGCATGATACGACATGGACACAATCTATAACCTAACGCAACACACATATATGTGTATATGTACTAAAACAACCAAATATACATATGTATCACAACACACAAACATACATCTAAATTTCTTCAGGAATGAACTCAAGTATATTACAGCTGACATAAAATCTGTCTATACACAAGCAGCTTCTACACACATATGAAATCCGCTAGCACGAGAGGCTCGCATATTAATTCTTGACATGTTTGAACTTTATATGATAGGATACTGGTATGCTGCTATTGGCATTTAAGCAGGCAAGTCTGTACATTATCATTTACTTATCTCGATCTTTTCCTACAACGAAATCAACATGGACAGTTTTCCACCAAGCTGTATGATAAGCGTGATGATTGCAATTTCCTTGTTATGAATTTAACATCCTTGGATAGCAACGTCCCTGTATCCCCAACTTATGGTGTTTACATGTCGCAGCTGATTCCATATTTAAGGGTTGTTGCCAATATCATGATTTACGTAGTCAATTGACGGAAAAAAAGATGCAGGTTATGGGTAAGTTTTACAGTCGTCATATTGATCTTATTGAGAACTAATTCATTTCCTTGTGATGTTATTAAGCTGGATGCGTTTGACGCCTGTTGGTTGGCCTGTTTGTCCTGTTGTTCTACACCTTATACTCATTTACGTTTACGTTTCGGGTGTCATCGATGAAACTGAAGACGCGTACTCTTCCGGAACACCTGATCTTATTCTCCACGTGCTTTTTCAGGAATCTCCGTAAATCTTTTCTTTTGTTTATTTTGCTCTAGTTTTATTGATTTTGCGTTTGGATTATAATTGTGTTGACATGATGTAATTTTCTTGTTCTTTTTTTATATATATAACGTAAACATTGATATATTAGAACACCTCGAAATCATCAGGCATAGGTCATACATCCCAAGTTAGAAAACCTTAGTAGGCACAGTGATTTCATTTCTTGTTAACACTTTGTAATAAACACGAAATCTCTTTTACGATAGGTGCACTGTATCTTCAATGATGTCCATATCAGAAATATCTTGCATCTTTAATATTGCTGATGAAATTTAGTCCTTAGAGACATATATATAATATTCTGAAATGATCGATCATATGAAAGTTATAAAATTTATTGCATGACGTGGTTAATACCATCAAGCACTACCTGACACCCCCATCTAGTTTGTGGCATTTCTTTCTTTCAATTTGACTTCCCTTTTTCACCTCACATGTTTCAAAATTCAAAAGACAAATCAGAAAAAAAACAACTTTCCTTTCCGGAACACCCGGTATTATCATCCTTGTATTTTTTAGAAATATTTGTATTAATCTTTCTTTTGTTACATTTGATCGTTGTTTCATCGATTTCCAGAAAATTCAATTGACATGGTGGTATTTGTTGCAGTTTTCAGAGTTTGTTCCCGTGAAATGTAATGATCCAGGGTGCTAGATCATAAAACAATGTTATTGACAGTTTGTTCTTCTGTGAAGAGTTGTGGTACTGGACTGAGAGATCATTTGTATTAAATTGGTGAAGCTGAATGATGTTGTCATTAAATCGTGTCTACTGATACTAATTTTAGACAGGCAGATCTAGAGTCCGTCCCCGTGTTAAGTAGTGGTGCCGCGGGTAAGGGAATCACAATCTACCAGCGTACCTCTGCTTTATATGGAGACTGACAAAGCACCAGGCTTTATGTGTTTGTATAAAGATCAAATTTCCAACAGCCATTCAAACACTTGGGGCATGTACTTTCTCGATCAGACAGTTTCGAACTGCTGAGGAAGATCTCTGACTACAGTTCTACACTTTCACATAATGATATTATTACTAATTCATTATTTTAGACAATTGAAAGCAGCATAAATCAGAATTAGATACGATCCGATTTCTATCTTTATGTTTATGGATCACGCATACCTGCTAGTTGGTTGGTAAGAGCAAAGGAATTTGTGACATAAAGACATATAACACATTTGCTTCATGAGAACAACACAATGTTTACACCAAGGAATTAATTCTGTTTGTAGGCCTAGTGTTAAGTACTAGTGCCGCGGGGAATGAATATAAAATCCTCGTGACTCTTGTCCTTGATATAAAGGCCGATGCTTCATCGGAAGTACAGCTAACGATGTCTTCAATTCCTACTCCAAACAGACTAATCCCAGAGGGACGAATCAGTAGTGTGTGGTGCAAATACTTTGTTTACTTGCCAAAATTGATACTCATTTGTCAAATATTGTCACTGAAGTGTTAGAAACGATCAGCTGAAAGAAACTTCTATCAACTCTTCCGTTTGCTCTGCCTTTTTAATATTATTGTTCTTTTTCCTCCATAAAACTGCGCATATACCGTTCTATTCAAAACGGTGCAGTTGGGGCTATATGGTGTATATTCCTTCAAAATTTTGACTCTACTCAGTTTCATTTCTATTGAAATATTAACTTGTCTGTTGTACAACTGACATTTAAGAATGCTAATTCCCGCATTATATGACATTTGTTTTCGTTTTATCTTCTTTTTTTATTCATGTATTTTAATACCTTGATTAAATTTTCGATAATGTCACTAGTGATACACATTTATGTCGCACTCTTGAAATATGGATAATTATACAAGGAAAACCATATCAAATATCATATAAGTAATAAAAACAAGGTATGCCAACTGCATGATATTTCATTGATCTTATATTCATGTCCTGATATTGCTGATAAATACTAATGATACTAGTACATTTAATATCTTTTTTAAAATATTTATGAAACAGGATAAAATAACGACTTAGTAACTCGTACATAATTAAGCCGTTATTACCATAATGTTTTTCCGTAACTGGTTTACGTATGAGTATGAAGTTTCGTATTATTTACTATGAAAGAGACTTCGTCAGTAGTCGAGTTACGCCTTCTCAAATACAAATACAACTCCGTCCATTTTCATAAACCACTTCGCAATTATCCTTTTTTTAATCGTTTTCCATTTTCCAGTTTCCTCCATGTTTTCCATCAACACTTCCAGTATACCGTCATATTGCGGATGTCTCAGGTATTCCTCTCGCATCGCTAGGATGATAAACCCACCTGAAATACAACAATTAAGATTGAATCAAAACAATAAATGAATTATAAGCACAAAGGACTAGCCATTCGTTGTTGTTGGTCAGAACAGATTATATCGAGGCCTTGTATATCATAAGAACAAGTCGTTTGAATATTTCATACATTTGTTCCTTTAATCTTGAACCTTTATGTCACTAAAGTATAATTCAGCATAATTCCAATTTCAAAACAGTTTTGACATCTAGAAATTTAATAAAATAAATAAAAAATGAAAGAATTAAACTGAATGTATACACACCTTGACTTTTGTTTTATCTATACCATGCTTATCGTTAGTGATTTGACCTAATTGATTGACATTAACCCTTTGTGACGACGATTGTTTTAAGTAAATCGGCGCATCTGGACGAAATACAACACAAAGATAATTGGACCTCATAATACAAGATAGAGTTAAGTACAGTTTGAGTTATTCACTCATTAACTCATTGGTATCTATAAATGTGTATAAGGTAAGCTCTACCGATTGTTAAGGTGATGAAATAAAAGAAAAAACATGCCTAAAAGACATTGATGAATGCAAATGATCAAATAAAAAAAGTACATGAATTAGCTGTTTCGAATATTGATGTCATTCTCAATAATTTTGAGCAGACTACGTGTTCACTGCGTTTTAATGAAATGGTATGAGATCGCTTTCAATAACTAAACATCATATCGGGATAATATACATAAAGTGGTTACCTTTACGGGTTATTCTTAACATCTCCCATACTGCACCTGCCGGAATGTGACCTTGACCCATTCCTCCACATGACGCAACGATGTCATAAGTATCTACAGGGAAGGAAATGGTCAGTGGTTCACAAAACGTTACCAATCAATCCTATTACACACAAGCAAAAATATTAATTGATAATCGAAGTGATAAAATAAGAATTTATCAGGCAATATTGTGATATTTATCTTAACTCATTCGAATATCATCGATATGGAATGAAATGTTCATTAGAGGATTTTCGAGTATTTCAATTTTTTTTTCAGTTAAAAGTGATATTTTCTGATTTACTTTAATCCGTTCGTTAAATGTCTCTTTTTCCTTTTTGTAACAATTTAGTCCAAAAGAAATTTCATGTTAAGGAACCAATACAAGCACAATTTTTTCGAGTCATATTAAGAAAATACATGTGTTTTCAATAATAATAATTTGACTCAACAAATTAAATGCCAGTACTTTATTTGATACTCAAATAAAAATGTGACGTAATCAATCCCCCAGCCACCATTTCCCACATACCAGCTGCTACCTGGACCAGTGCCTCCTCCGATATAAACTCGTTGATGAATTTCTTATAAATATTCCGAGTGTTGGCCTTCTCTAACATTTTTGTTGATGGTTCCAATGCATGCAGATTTCTGAAACCTCTCAGCTGCAGCTATAAAATCAATACAGATAAATATTACATTGACGTCCTGACAACTTCAATCAAGATGTACATCACCACAGTTTGATCAGAGTCACGTGAGGTCATGGATCAGATCCAAGTTTGACTTAAAACAAAACCCAGGTTAAATTCAATGTCCTACTTATTCTAAAATATTGTGGTTACATTTATCTTTAGAGACTGATCAAAAGCAAAAAAAAAAAAAAAAAAAAACAAACAAAACAAAACAAACAAACATTTAAATTCAAGTTAAAAACCTGAGTTATACCTCTTTGCCAAGTAATCCTGTTCCAGCAGCCACATCGAGCACTAAGGCACCCTCTCTGTTTGCTTCTGGTATAACTTCACAGCATTCAATGGCTGTTTGTACCGGACCTTGATATTGGTCAGGCTGTGAATACTATAAATTAAACTGTGTCAATACTGGAGTACATGAAATACTGTTCATAATGAAAAATGGCATGAACACATCTACATGTTTCTCATGCTTTCATGTTTTCCGGAACACCGTTCTTTAGTATTCAAATCCCGGTGCTTTTTAGGGATGTATTTTATCCGTTTTTACATGTTACGTAATTCGTTTTATCAATTTCTTTATTACCGGTGACAGCATCTTCCAACAAACTTTTCTATAACAATAAGGTTGGTGATATTTTACGCATTACTCAATACAGCTGTTGTACAAACAAACTTTTTAAAAATGAAAATTGCGTTTGATAATTGTATCATTGCTGGTATAATTTTAATTTAATGCTTAATGAAATTTAATATTTCAGTATAAAATACCCACACACGTATGTGTGTTTGTCTGTTGTTGTAAACATTGATCTCATTTGAGAACTTATTGAAGTAACCAACGTTTACATAGCTGGTATTGACGATGAAGCAGAAGTCGCTTACTCTTCCGAAACACCTGATCTTATTCCTTTTGTCCTTTTTCAGGAGTCTCCTTGTAAATCTTCATTTTGTTCATAGTTTAGATTATGATTGTGTTGACATGCTAGTTTTTTCGTGATTTTTTCTTCTATAATTTTTTTGCTTTGGGGATAATGAATCCGCTCAATCATTATTATTTATAACAAATGTTTCCAAATATCTCATAGTTTTGAATATAAGAATATTAATTAGCGATATTTCACTATATTTCATATGTTATAACATATTATAATTGATATTGGTAACAGAACACACCTGGGAACAGAGCAGTTTTATTGTTGTAGAAACAGGTCACACAAACTCGTGGTTGTTGTACAGAGCATTTCTTCTTTTCTCGCTAGTTATTTTTCAAGTCACCAAAGCACCAGCTTTTACTCAGGTGAAAGAAATATAAAACAACTGCTTCGTGTGACATCCATTCATCTTGAACAGAATTTTGCGTTTAACATAAAAAGCGATTAACTTGTGGTTTACACAGTTTGGTGTGCTTTGGTGGTAGGTAATTGGTGAAGATGACTTACAGTGTCGTAAATATCTGCCAACCCATTGTAGATATCCCTGACCTCTTCCTTGGTTTGTCCTGCTTTGTACGCTGTTTTTACTCTATCGCAAATCACCTTCTCATTATCGACTTCGTTTCCACTCATTTTGAATACTGAAATAAATATATATATATGTATATATATATATGTTTGCAAAGCATTAACATATACTTGATAGTTTTAAGCTGAAGACTGTTCACAGGTCCATAACACAATGATGCAATATCATTCCTGGATGAAGCAAGAGTCCAACGGACCTTAACACTCATCTGTCTTTGAAAATACAAAATGTAATGGTAGTGAAAGTGGAAATTATTTTTAATGATAACGACAATCCTGAAAATTATCGGTAAAGTTGTCTTCATTTCATTTTTTCATTTCATCAAATTTTATTGACATGATGTTAAGTCAAATGGATTGAATAACGTCTATATAAATTCTCTCCATACATGGCCGAATAATAAATTAAATAATGAATCATAGATTGATAAGAAATGGAAAATAAATATACACAAGAAGGAAAACAAATTAACATTATTAAAGGGGGGTAACTCTTATCTTGCACACGCCATACACATCTACACACAGATAAACAAGTACATGTACAAATTAGAAATATTTTTATTTAGCATATATATACAGTTTCTATAATCAGAAATTGGCAGACTCAGACCAAAAGTCCATGTGCAGTATATTGCACAGGTCCCTGCTGCCAACAACTGGTAAAGAGTGAAGAATAACAAATTCTTTATAAAGTATTTAAAGAGTACAATTTCTTTATACATGTAATTGTTGGACTTGCTCAATGTTGTCTTGACTTTAACATGTTTTTTTCCCTTAATTACTCCAGTGGAACTGGATGGCGTCATAATGGATATCTGACTGATCAGAAATCACATTGCACAGGAAAATCTCCTTGTAAATCTTTCCTTTGTTTATACTTTGTCACAGCTTTATTGAATTTGAGTTTGGATTATGATTATGTTGACATGTTGGTGTTTTCATAACAATAGTGAAGGTATGGGGAAGTTATAGATAACGTTTGAGGTTTACTTACTTTGTAGAGAAGCGAAATAATTTTTGAAAGGCTTTGATTTTAGAAAGTAGGTAAAAATAGGAAAAAAATCAATATGTTTTCGCACTACTTTTTCCGGTACTGGTACCAGCATATGTGTGGCAGCGAAAAAAATTATTTTGTTCTGCTTAAGAGATATTCCCTGTTATTTTCGCGGCATTTTTATGATAATTTTTCGTCTTTCACTGCAAGGTAAGGCTTGGATACTTGGTGAAACATTTTAAAAGACATTCTTTTTGAATAGAGACATTTTCGAGGATACTTTTCATAATGGAAACAGAGGCACTGTCCATGCTTTAATTTTCACCAAAATAACTAGTTTTTCCAAGATCAGGAAACAAGGTGAATTATTTGTTTTCAGGTTCTGAAAATCCGCGAAAGTGAATCTGTGATAACTCACGCAAAGTTAAATCTGTCCAAGACCTACAAAGTTATACGCAAGATAAGAACTTTAGCAACCAGACATGTTGTTAACGCTATTTACTGAATCATGCCGACAATAAAGAAGTTCACAAGCGAAATTTCTTTAACACGTCATAATATCCACTGCAGGTAGAAGGAGAGCATTCTTTATCACCTTAGGCCCAATTATCTCACGACGTGCATTCTAATGAAGAATATATGTGATGGACACAGACTGTGCTTCAAAAAGAGGTACAGTTTTTCTTCTTTCTTGGAAGCAATCTTCATCTAACCACCTTCAAGTCAGAAAGTATCCCATTGGTCAAGAGATGGCAGCCTAGTAAAATGCAATGCAACAAGAAGTACAACCGTTTTTCATTCCGAACCTTCACGGACCGCACACAATAATACATTTAACGGGGTGATGTGCTCGATGGTTTGGATTGCCAAACGCTTCAATCCGTCCAGGTGATGTGGATTCTGACTTGGATTTGCGATGTTAAGCAACAATAGGTCTGACATACGTACATTCCAAGATAGCGCAACCCAGATTATTTCGAGATACCAGACGACGGGTTTAAGGACATGCCTAAGGATATGACTAATTTTGCAGGCAACACTGGTGAGGTGCACGATCTCCTTAAAGATATGGAGTTAGTATTTGCTAATATGTTAATGGAGAAGTATGTGGGATAGCATCAATGACAAATGACCCAACTCTACCACTGGTGCTTTCAGGAAAGTGATCGGTGCACATTGTCTTAATGGTGGTAAAAACAGACAAGCTTAATCCATTTATCTAGTGACACATGAGGTTAATCCAAAAGTTTGGTCAGAAGTAAAGCCCTTCGTTAAGATCATCCAGTCACAAAGCTCTGCAGAACGTTAGCAGGATCTGCCTCTAAAAGGTTCCGATTGGTGTGCTTCTGATCAACTAACAGGTTCTTCCTGCCATGATACATTCTGCCACCCACCTATTCACTGTAGCATATGAATGCTACCATATCAGATATACTGATGGTGGTATATCTCTCTTATACAATTATTGAATCACTGCTCTTTCAGCGATTTTGTCCATTTTGCAAACATCAATTTGAATCTTCGACATAAAGTGACCTAATGACACTAGACCTATATTGCACTGGTAGGTGCTTTAATACAGCACGTAATATTACAGAAAACGAGAAGTTTAACTACGACCAAAATGACGTTCAGCTCGCATTCAATCAGAAATATCGTTCAGTGAGTGAGCTTCATGCTTCTTTGGGCAGTTAAGTGAAATAGACAGGTTTTCAATTACAATATTTCATTGCTTTCAAATACAGGTGTATCCTGTGCCCATACGTGTATAGACTTAACCGAGTCACTTGATTCTAAAAATATAACAGACTGCAGTTCATATCATATTCAGAAAGCGTGTGGGTAAAAACATATATCAGTGAAAACATCACTGTTGATATTCTGCATACATTCAACAATCGAACAATGAAAGACACTTAAACTACGCGTACACAGAATAAAATCTAGACATTCTGAAAAGAACCAAACTTATCACAGATAAAAATTTAATGTCATAAGAAAACTACGGCTAGATCGGCTTGTTGACTATACTCGGTAGCCCGGGAAATTCGTTATCCGGACAAGAAGTTTATTGACCACGTCCACATGGACAGCTTCCCAACAAGCTGTATGATAAGCATGATGATTGCAATTTCCCTATAATGCAGTTCGTGTTATTAACTGATTGGCAAAACTTGAATAATTAGGTATTTCTCAATGAAAGGTAATGTACGGTTAAATGCAATTACACGGTACGTAATAATGGTTATGATCATAGACATATCTGTGAATATTAGTGTTATACTTTGTATATAAAGTTAGTATATCCATTAATAGTTGCTATATTTTGAAAGGCTAGCATTCAATGTCCTTATAAAGTATTTAAGACATTTGTTCTCCTTATTGGTCTTTCATTTTTGACTGAATTGTACAGTAGAACCATGGAGTATAATTGAGATAAACCGGGCTGAGTTTATGCCAGGACGCTCGTCAGGGATATATTTCCCCCTTTTTTCATAGCAAAATAAAACTTTCTTTCTCACAAAAACCTTAACAAATACTATAAACGAAATGTAAACAACTACATACAACTTAAAATATAATCAATAACAATACTTACCGAGTTCAGTTTGACAGTGAATACCCTAAAATTTTCTTCGCGTTGGTAAGTTTGCATTAAAAACCACGACGGATTAGATATGCAGGTCACATGCAGTAGCGCGTAACTTCAAGTATTAACAAAATATTATGAATGAAAGCATCGCAGGCATGTGGAATATTTTTTGCTTCATCTTCTGTTCAGTGTGGATGACATAGTATTTTTTACCAAATCTGCCATGTTATTCGTCATTTAATAAAATGACATCACTGGATATATTTCTTTCTTGGTAGTTATTGATATATAATATACCCAAAAACATAGCTAAAGTGGTGACTCAGTTATCGAGATGGAAATTATAACATCAACAAGTTGTGCTTTCTTCTGTCATTATCTGTATAAAGGATATCTACAGATTCAGTTTTTTGTCAAACTTTTCTGTAAAAATGATGACCAGCTGTTTATTATGTAGCTGTAAACTTTATCGGGCGCTATTTCTTGAAAAGCAGTATGAAGCCAAGAAATATACTGAGGCTACAATCGGAGCATTACCAAGCCCATTCCATTTCACTCATCCGTGTATTGATGATATCTTGTTGGTATACCTTGTGGTTTATTGCCGTCATTCTCATTTGAAAACCTGTCATCATTTACATGGATTGGGCAACACATATATATGACAGACCGTCGATAACACAGCAGACACGTGTCACTTCAGAAAGTATGATTATATGACCTGTTTTGCAAGGTCTTCGTGTGACGATTTCATTTTTAGCAATGTAAATTTTCGATTTCTGGAGAGCAAAATTTTTGTGTGTCCACCCTATCGCGTTAACGTGTTCGATGGTTAAAGGCTATTTCTCAGTATCACTATTTTGGTGCAAGACATCTCAAAATCTATAACCTCACAACACTAAGTTTCGAGTATGCAGGTTGATCGAATGACGTGCATGTTTTGCAGTCGTCATAATGATATCATTTTGAAATAATCAATTTCTGATGCGATATGAGATTTTACATGGCGGGTGTCATCAGTGAAGCAGAAGACGCTTACTCTTCCGGAACACATAGTCTTATCCTACTTGCACTTTTTCAGGAGTCCCCGTGTAATGTTATCTTTTGTTCATATTTTACACTAGTTATATTGAATTTCGGTTTGAGTTATGATTATGTTGCCATGTTGGTATTTTCTTGATGTTATTTTTACAAGTTTTGCCGGCGTCGGCCAAGTCACGATAGGATTCATTGCCTGAATCACAATTATTGGACATCGTTAAGCTTCTTTGAGGCTCAAACAGAATTGACGTTACAGATGATCGACCAATAAGACTCGTTGGTTTTTAGAAGGATAACAATTCTAAATTTTTATTAAGTTTCCTCGGGCGTTTACAGGTAGAAATAGTGCTGAAGTTTTGTTGTTTAATTATAAAATTTATTTTCTACTCATTTAGATAACATATCGATATATATTCCTTGTGATACACACCCGTAGAAGTAGGGCAATTCTATCGCACTGGGTCATTAAACAAGAAAAAATGATACTCAATGTCTTTACACGTAATGACAGAACGTCAACATTATATTTCATTGATATTATATTCATATCACTCATGATATTGCTGATAAACGATAATGGTACAGATATATCTAATATATATTCCTATATTCACAATACAAAAAGTCTCATAGCTAGTTACAGTGTTAAGAAAACAGATATATAGATATATGATTAATTCACATAGACATGAAGTAACGGTAGGTAGTTAGGGTCGCAGGATAAAGTATATGTCACATTAACGGCTGAGTATCTCATACGTAACTATGCCGTTAATATGACATAATATTTTCCTGTGGCCCTAACCTGCTTCCGTACGAAGTTTCAATCTAATTACTAGTGAAAACATATTCCGTCAGTAGACATCTTTTACACGCAAAAGTTATGCTTTCTTAAATACGAATGCAACCCCTTCTTTTTCTGCAAAATACTTCTGAATTATCCTTTTTTTAATCATTTTCCATTTTCTAGTCTTCTCCATGTTTTCCATCAACACTTCCAGTATACCGTCATATTCCGGATGTCTCAGGTATTCCTCTCTCATCACTAAGATTATAAATCCACCTGAAATACAACAATTAAAATCGAAGAACTAACAAGAAATACATTATAGGCAAAAAGGGTTTGTAAGTTTGTAATGGTCAACGTTACTATCTGCGCGAAGAATTCATTTGAGTACATATCATTTGATTAGGTGTAGCGCCCGAAGTAAATGATAGGATAATCACAGATGATACACAACAAAATTATAAAAATCGAATGTGTAAGACAGAAAGAATACAAGATCAGCGTCTAACGATGATTATATAAATGACACACAAGTGAATAGCATCTTTCAATACCAATTATAAGTGAAAAACATAAACCAAAAATGGATAAAACTACATCATACAGCTGTCGTCAGTGATGTTAAGGGCCTAAGACGGGCGGTTCACTAGCCTAATAAATTAGATAAATTTTGTAATTTTTATATATCAGGTAAACTCAGGTATTTTGGAGTTACTTCCCTTCTGTTATATTGCAATGTTATCATTTAATGACTATGTTGTATATCAATGTATTTTGTCTTATGCCACTGTGTTGTTATGTATGGGAGAGGACTTAAATATCACTGCCTGATGTCTAATAATTTTGTCATATATATTTATCTACATGTCAATAAAATGCACAAGGTGCACAAATCCCATAATTAAATACATTTTGGTGTTTCCATTTATCAGATAATCTTATAACTACGTCAAATACATGTGTATATTCTGAACCGTGCAATATTTGAATGAATTAAAATGTGGCGTACAGGTTACGGCAAATTTCGGGAACTGAAAGTCCACCATCAATGTCTACCACATACTATTTCAAAGAATTGTACAAAAAAAACGCACAAGCGAATAGCACCTTTAAATAGAAATAGATGATACAGTAGAGCTAAAATATGAATTAAACTGCATACAGCTATTTCGTCCTGGAACACTGAAATAACTAAAAGGGATAATATTGAATTGTTTACAAGTGTGGTAAAAATGAGAGAGAGAGAAAAAAAGAAAGTGATTACCTTGACGGGTTATTCTTAACATCTCCCATAATGCGCCTGCCGGAATGTGACCTTGACCCATTCCTCCGGATGAAGCGACGATGTCATAGGTGTCTGCACAGAAGGAAATAGTCAGTGGTTCACAAAAAGTTACAAATCAATCCCATTATACATAAGTAAGAATATCTATTGTTAATCATAGTAATATATTGGTATTTCTCTTAAATCATAGGAATATTGTCGTTAAAGAATGAGATTTTATTCTATTCGCATGTAAAATCGCGAAATCAATATTTCAGTTGTAGTGAAAAGCAGTTTCTTATACTTGACTTTCATCCGTTGCTTTGATGTCTCTCTTCTTACTTGCTGGTTCTAAGTGGAATACATTTGGTAAATTGGTAAATATACATACATCGAGAGATATTCAATATCTTCAGGAACCAACACAATCACAATTCTATCGAGTCATATTAAAAAAACTGCTAGAGAAAGAACATTGTAATTAATAGTTTAAATACTCGTGTAATTTAATTCCATATACAGATAAAAGAATGACGTAATCCATTCTCCAATCACCATTTCCTACGTACCAGCCTCTACCTGGATCAGTGGCTCCTCCGATATAAACTTGTTGATGAGTTTCTGATAAATGTTCCGAGTGTTGGCCTTCTCTAACATTTTTGTTGATGGGTCCAATGCATGAAGATTTCTGAAACCTTTCAGCTGCAGCTATAAAACCAATACAGATTAATATCACATTGACGTCTTGACAAATTCAATCAAGATGTACGTCACCACAGTTAGATCAGAGTCACATTATGAGACCCTGGGTAAGATCCAAGTTTGACTTAAAAGCAAAACCCATGTTAACTTCCATTGTCGACCAACTTACTTGTTCTCTAATCTTGTTGTTACATTTATGATCTCAAAAGTTCTAAATTCAAAACATGTTGAACTCCTTGAGTTATACCTCGTTGCCAAGAAATCCTGTTCCAGCAGCCACATCGAGCACTAAGGCATCCTCTCTGTTTGCTTCTGGTATAACTTCACAGCATTCCATGGCTGCCTGTATCGGACCTGTATATCGGTCAGGGTTTGAATCCTATAAATTGATATGTGTCTGGACTTGAGTACATAAAATATTCTTTATAACGAAAATAGAAATATCACTAACACGTCTGCATATTTCTCATGTTTTATATCATCATTTTTCAGATAACTAGGTACAGATCAGATCACATGATTAGATGTACACCTGCGTGCCAACCTTTTTAATGACTTGGGTTGTGTTCAAAGGGTTTTAGTGTTAAATGATTTGTTTGTTCGATTTCGATCTCGCTTTACATGTCTTCATTTCTACTATATAAGGCTGGTGTTTTAGTACTCCTATGGCATCAGTTGTTTCAATTATAAAGAAATATCCATGCATACGTGGGATAAACTTTAAGAACGTTTAAACAATTGATTTATTGCTGTTTTAATCATTTGACTTTTATCTAGATTTCTATCAATTTATTGCTAAAAAGATAATACATTCATTAGATATTTGTTAAGATTTGTAATAAATTATAATGTTTCGAAATATTACTGAATCGGCAACATTTCACTACATGTCATATCATGTTATTGATATTTTTAACATTACACACCTGTGTATTGAACAGTTTTATTGTGGTAGAAATAGGTTACACAAAGTGATTGTTGTGCAGGGCTTTTCTTCTTCTCTGTTATTTTGCGTTTAACATGAAAGTTGATTGAGTTGTGGATTTTCACCAGTTGATTTAGGTTGACGGTAATTGATGACTTACAGTTTCGTACGTATCAGCCCAGCTGTTGTAACCATCCTTGACCTCTTCCTTGGTTTGTCCTGGTGAGAACAATTGTTTTAATATATCGAAAACCACCTCCTCATTTCCAATTTCGTCTGTATCCATTTCAAATTCTGAAACAAATATATCTCTTTAAGATTTTAAAGACGAATATATGTCACAGTTTCGCATTGGACGGTTTCATCAGGGGTGGCAGTATGATAGACGGTTCACATGTTTAAAAAGGCCCATGTTAAATATATATTGACCTGATACAATATTATTGCTGGATAGAACTAGAGACTCACGGACCTAACAGTTTAATTGTCTTTAATGATCCAATATGTTCTGTAACAATCCTTCGTTCTCCTGTTAGAAAAGCTTTCATTTCCAAGAAACGGCAGTTTGTGAACTGTACCGAAACGTATTTCATAAAAAATAGCTCGAATCAAAGTAAAAAAAAAAAAAAAAAACGGAGGGAGAAAAGAAAAAATAAATCAAATTTCTGGTTGACAACATTCTCATCGAATAAAGTGGTAAGATCTTCCAACAGACAATTGACATACCTAAGTGAACTTTCTGTGCTCTTTGACTGACTTATTCATATTTTCAAAAAATTATCGAAGAACTTATAAAATCAGGCCACAAGGACAAGTTGTTTAATTTCACTTTCAGATTTATTGACGACATCTTGTCTTTCAATAATAGAATGTTTGTTGACCACTTTAACCATATAGAGACCCCAGAATTGGAAATTAAAGTCATCATGGACCTTTCTAAACCAATCCCGTGATTTATAAATTCCGTAATTCGTGAGAAAAAAGTCTTCCTTTATTGTGAACGATAAGTGAAATACATTATGTTATGCGATCTGACAAGAACCGAACCCGTGTCATTTGTTAAACAACCATGGATCTACCGAATAAGTCTTTATGACTGCATAATATTTTCTTTTGATCCTATCTAGATTACTTATGAAGTTACGTACTAATTACAGTAAAGGTAAATTTTGAATTAGCAAATAATTACACTGCCAAGACATGGTCTCAGTTTGGTGGCAGGAGCTTTCAACGGACAATTGACATAAGTATAGAAACAAACTGTGCTCCTTTGTTGGCTGACTTGTTCTTGTTTCCATACGAGGCTGAATCGCAATTATGAAAACAGGTCACAAAGACTTGTTAAGTCCTTCAATGTTACCATTAGATAACTTCATGACGTGTCCTCTTTAAAGAACAAGAGATATATTGACCATGTCTCTCGTATATACCCATCACCATTGAAAAATAAGGACACGACGAATGTTATATCGATCTTTTCCTGCGACTAAACCAACATGGACAACTTTCCAATAAGCTGTAGGAAAAGTTGATGATTTCAATTTCCCTATTGTGAATTTCCCACTTCTGAATAGCAACAGCTCTTCATCCTCAACCTATGATGTTTGCATGTCAATGTTGATTCGATGTTCAAGGAGTTGTTCCCATTATCACGAATTTCATACAAGAAGTCGTTGACTGAATGACAGATTCGTAAATCATGGGTTTCAAAAATACCAACTAATGAAATCTAGAAGTTTTACTGTCGTCATGGTGGTCTCAGTAAGAAATACTTTTAGTGGGTGTTTTTTCTTTGTGCAATATGAAGCGTTGATACTCGTTAGCAAGCCTGTTCCGATCTTTCCAATATGTATTAATGAAATTCATTAAAAACGTAAAAGTTGGTTCAGCACAGCAATCTCCTTAAATATATACGGAATTCCTTGTTAATCGAAATTAACCAGGGGATAAGTTAACAAGTGTACCATCCGAGTTTCATCAAATGCGACCAGTCCATCAAAACATGTCATACGGAAAGCAGCATCCGGATAGACGTAGGCAGGAGGTAAGAACGAACGGGGCCCATATGAATATCAGTTTGCCGCTGGATAATGAAATCCATAACAATAGGTGTCAGGATTAGAAAAAGTAAAAAGCAACCTTGATTCACGGTCGAGTGACTTTTACTTTTATAAATGGCATATGTCATAAGGATTTTAGCCTTTTTAAGATGATGTGAAGGCCTTGTACTTACGCTTCGTTGAGTTACAATTACGCATGTAGATCATGAAATGCCAGTCCATAGACTTACTTGAGTTGCTGTTTTTTATTTCCATAGACCCTTGTCATATTGATTTTGAAAAGCTAGCTAGCATTCACTGTCTTGATAATGTCGTCAAGAAAGACTAAAAAGGGATAAAATATTTTAAAGACGTTTGATCTTATGGAGACATTTATTCTCCTTATTGGTTGGTCTTAATTACTTTTTGAACAAATGTAAAATTGCTTCATTGTAGTTAATAATTATCATTTTGTTTACTTTCACAGAAACACTTCGCTCTGGATTATACGGTAGACAAGGTGTACAAGACAGATAATATAGGTTGAATTATTGTCATATCGCTAGGCGGGAATGCATTTTCCCTATTCTGTCATAGAAAAATAAAACTGTTGTTTTCTCACAAAAACGTTAACTAACATTAATCCGAAATATAAACAACCGCATTCAACAGGAACTATAATCAATAAAGATACTTACCGTGTTCTGTTTGACAGCATATAACAAACACCTTTCTTCACGTTGGCAACTTTGAATTAACGCCGCAACGGATATGTTATACAGGTCAAATGCAGCGGAGTGTGACTTAGAGAATTTACAAAATGTGCTTTCCTGTATTATCCTCTGTATAAAGGATATCTACAGATTCAGTTTTTGGATAACATTTTCATCTCAAACTCATGGAACACATGTTTTCTGTAGTTACGAAAACTTCCTTTTCTGAGAATGGTGAACGGCTGTCCAGTATGTAGCTGTAAACTTTATCGGAAGATATTTCATGAAAAATAGTATAAAGCCAAGAAATATACTGAAGATGAAATCAAGGCAGTATCAAATCCCTGCCATTTCACTTATCCATGTATTGATGATATCTTGTGGGTATGCCTTGTGGTTTCATTGTCGTCATTCTCATTTTTTTTTTCGAATTTTGGAGAGCAACATCTCCACGTCTCCAACCTATAGTGTTTACATGCTGCAGTTTATTCGATGGTTAAAAGCTTTTTCTCAATATCAGGATTTCTGTGCAAAACATCTCAAAATCTATAAACTCACAACACAAGGTTTCGAGTATGCAGGTTGATCGAAATGACATGGACGTTTTGCAGTCGTCATAATGATATCATTTTCAAATATTCAATTTCTGGTGCGATATGAGGCTTTTCATTTGTTTGTATCTTGAACTTGAACGAAATGTATGACTCATTGTTTCAACTCCGCTTGTTAAACGTTACTCCATTATTATATTTATGAGTGACCCGTTATTAAGTATTTTCGTTTCAGTGTGTATAAAATGCAGATGTGTACAAGAAATGATAACGTTGTTTTTAATGTCTCCAAATGTTGGGCATCACACATGATACAGCGGTCGTGGTGAAACAAAGAAAAAGTGTGTTGTGCTGGAACACAATTTTGGTACAACAAATTATTTGGTGTTCACGAGTTCATAGTTAAAAATATCTAACTCGTGTAGAAAATAATTTTATGAAAATAACACATGAATAAATAAAAACTGTCCCGTTTGAGCTTTAAAAGCCAAACAATAACCAATTTCCTGTTATAAACTATTGAACAACAGTACCCTTAATTTATCAACTGTTTGCTTCACAGTACATAAGTAACTAACCTATAAATTATTCGGTAGTAACTTATGACTAAAGCAAAGATACAGACGATTAATTTCAGGAGCAACTTCCTATTCGTTTAGGAGCTCTGGTTCTTTCGATATAGTCATTAACATAAAAATTAGTATTATTATATAATTACTTATTTAATTATAATCACTATTTTTATTCCGCCACGCTTTCTTTGTCCGACACATTTCTCAAACATCTTCGGCCCGATTCAAGCAAAACTTTGCTTGAGCGTAGTTTGCTATGCAGAATTTTGCTTTCGTCTGTTCATTTTATGTGGTCGGACATCAAATATGGCGGATAGAACATCTAAAAATAAAAACCTATAATTAAAAAGAACTGATGGTCTGATTTAAGAAAGCTTGGTATAGATGATCATGTCAAAATTTGTTTTAGACATTTCGTTCCAAAATCCAAGATGGCAGCGGCAAGAAGTGAACTCATGAATGCAATCAGTCTTTGATCGAACGACAAATGTGGCTGACAAAAATATTTAAACTTTGAAATATTAATATTTTGATGGTGGATGCTAAGGTTCTTCCAACCCTGGCTGAGATGTTCATAAGAAGTATATAGGCGTATCAGTTTTCCATTGTCCATTGTTAAAATGTGTTGACATCCCACTGGTTTACGTAAGTCATGCATGGCTGCCTGTATAGTTTACAGTATGTATGTCGGTCATGTATCTTGCTTAAGTGCAAATAGGTTTAGTTGTAGAACAGCAGTATTTTCTAATTTAATTTGCAGTACTTAAATATAAATGAATGTCGATAACATATATGTAAATATTCTACCCAATACTTCCCGCATAGCATAAAGTCCGGTGAATAAAATTGGATATGAATTTGGTTTGTAAAGCCTGGTTGTCTTCAATCATTGTATTTGCATTTTATAGTATTTTATTTCGCAAGAGGACATTTCGAAAGATGCAATAATTTGTGTCCATTCTCTTGTTACGTTCACAAGAAAAAAGTTTATTAGTCGCCATAGCGATCTAATTGAGAATGTTTTATTTCTTTGTGCAACATAAAGCTGAAAGTATTTGGTGCTCGTTTGTTTTCCTGCTGGTTCCCTTGTTATATACCTTGTTCTCGATAACGAGACATTACGTACTTGGATTGACCAAGGGTCGAGGAAGTAGAGAACGCTTACACTTCCGGAAAACCTGGTTTTATTCTCCTTGTACCTTTTCAGAAGTCTCCGTTTAAATATCTCATTTGTTCATATTTTAACTTATTTTTACGGAAATGTTGTTAGAAATAATCAATTAATGAGAATCTTAGTTTTCAAAAGGATAACAACTATATTTAGATATTTTAACTTCCTCTGTAGTTTACACGATATAGTGTTACATGTATATCGTGCAATACATCGATCACTTTCTTAATACAGTATCAATTTTTTTCGAGAAAAAGTAATCTTTTATTTCATTCCCGGTAATATTTACCACCTGCCCATGTATTGATAATGTCTTATTGGTATGCCTTGTGGTTTTACTGTTGTTTTTCTTATTTGAGAACTTTACATTTCTTGGATTGATGGGTCGTAGATGACACAGAAGACGTTTGTCCCTTCAGGATGCATAATGTTATTTTCTGGTATTTTTGGAAAGGCTTCCGTACAAATATTACATTTGTTAATGTTCTACCCTCATTTTATCGATTTTGAATTTAAAGCCTATACCGTCCAGAAAAAAATGCTATATCGACTGCATAATGCAGTTTACTTCACAATGTGGTTTTGTGGTCCTCTCGAATTTTTGTTTAATTTTTTCCACTCTGTTAAATAATATGTCGATATATATTCTTTGTTCTACACACCCGTAGAAAAGTAGGGTAATTCTATCACACTGGTCATGTAACAAGAAAAAAGATACTCAATGTCTTTACACGTAATAACAGAATGTCAACATTATACTTCATCGGTATTTTTTCCATATCACTCATGATATTGCTGATAAATGATAATGGTACAGATATATCTAAAATATATTCCTATATTCATAATACAAATGATATGACATAATATTTTCCTGCGGCCCTTACCTGCTTTCGTACGAAGTTTCGATCTAAGTACTAGTGAAAAATATTCCTTCAGTAGTCATTTTGTACACGCAAAAGTTATGCTTTCTTATATACGAATGCAACCCCTTCTTCTTCTGCAAAATACTTCTGAATTATCCTTTTTAAAATTATTTTCCATTTTCTAGTCTTCTCCATGTTTTCCATCAACACTTCCAGTATACCGTCATATCGCGGATGTCTCAGGTATTCCTCTCGCATCACTAAGATGATAAATCCACCTGAAATACAACAATCAAAATTGAAGAAATAACAAGAAATACATTATAGGCAAAAAGGGTTTGTAAGTTTGTAATGGTCAACGTTACTATCTGCGCGAAGAATTCATTTGAGTACATATCATTTGATTAGGTGTAGCGCCCGAAGTAAATGATAGGATAATCACAGATGATACACAACAAAATTATAAAAATCGAATGTGTAAGACAGAAAGAATACAAGATCAGCGTCTAACGATGATTATATAAATGACACACAAGTGAATAGCATCTTTCAATACCAATTATAAGTGAAATACATAAACCAAAAATGGATAAAACTACATCATACAGCTGTCGTCAGTGATGTTAAGGGCCTAAGACCGGCGGTTCACTAGCCTAATAAATTAGATAAATTTTGTAATTTTTATATATCAGGTAAACTCAGGTATTTTGGAGTTACTTCCCTTCTGTTATATTGCAATGTTATCATTTAATGACTATGTTGTATATCAATGTATTTTGTCTTATGCCACTGTGTTGTTATGTATGAGAGAGGACTTAAATATAACTGCCTGATGTCTAATAATTTTGTCATATATATTTATCTACATGTCAAGAAAATGCACAAGGTGCACAAATCCCATAATTAAATACATTTTGTGATTTCCATTTATCAGATAATCTTATAACTACGTCAAATACATGTGTATATTCTGAACCGTGCCAATATTTGAATGAATTAAAATGTGGCGTACATGCTACTGCAAATTTCGGGGACTGAAAGTCCACCAGCAATGTCTACCACATACTATTTCAAAGAATTGTACAAAAACGCACAAGTGAATAGCACCTTTAAATAGAAATAGATGATACAGTAGAGCTAAAATATGAACTAAACTGCATACAGCAATTTCGTCCTGGAATGCTGCAAAATATCTAGAAGGGATAATATTGATTTTTTTTACAAGGGTGGTAAAAAAGAGAGAGAGAAAAAAAACAACATAGAAAGTGATTACCTTTACAGGTTATTCTTACCATCTCTCATAATGCACCTACCGGAATGTGACCTTGACCCATTCCTCCAGATATCGGTATTTCTCTTAAATAATAGGAATATTGTCGTTAAAGAATGATATTTTTTTCTATTCGCCTGTAAAATAAAAAAAAATCAGTATTTCAGTTGTAGTTAAAAGCAGTTTCTTATACTTGACTTTCATCCGTTGCTGTGATGTCTCTCTTCTTACTAGCTGGTTCTAAGTGGAATACATTTTCGAGATTAAATTGGTAAATATACATACATCGAGAGATATTCAATATCTTCAGGAACCAACACAATCACAATTATATCGAGGCGTATTAAAAAGCTTCTAGAGAAAGAGCATTGTAATTCATCGTTTAAATACTGGTGTAATTGAATTCCATATACAGATTAAAGAATGACGCAATCCATTCTCCAATCACCATTACCTACATGCCAGCTTCTAACTGGATCAGTGCCTCTCCGATATAAACTCGTTGATGAGTTTCCGATAAATATTCCGAGTGTTGGCCTTCTCTAACATTTTTGTTGATGGGTCCAATGCATGAAGATTTCTGAAACCTTTCAGCTACAGCTATAAAACTAATACAGATTGATATTACATTGACGTCGTGACAACTCCAATCAAGATGTACAAACTTACAGTTAGATCAGAGTCATGGTATAAGGCCATGGCTCAAATAAGAGTTTGACTTAAACGAAAAACGTGTTACATTGTCGATCAACCTACCTGTTCTCTAATCTTGTGGTTACATTTATTTATAGAAACTGATCACAAAAATTCTAAATTCAAAACAAGTTGAAACCCCTCAGTTATACCACTTTGCTTCTGGTATAACGTCACAGCATTTAACGGGTGCATGTATCGGACCTTGATATCGGCCAGGGTTTAAATCCTATAAATTGACATGTATCTGAGTCTGTGTCATGAGTACATGAAACATTTTCACTGCGAAAAAGCAATGTCAATATATATATAACAATTCATAGTTAGAAAAACAGTGCTTACCTTTTTGATGACTTGGTTTGTGCTCATACAAGTCTAATTCATTGAAGTAACAAAGATCTTCTCCTAATTACATATCTATTATGTTTTGTTTGAATCATAACAAACAGTTTAAATTTTGCATGAAAAACAACAAAGGAAATACCGACATACTTATCAACAGAATTTTAATTTAAATTCAAGCATTTATCAACGAATCAACTGCGACATGTAAAGTTATAGGTTTGGGAAGCACAACGTTACGATGTTGAAATGGACATTTCACAGTGAGGATGTGTAAATCATCACGCCTAACACACAGATTGTTGGAGAATGGATGACTTCCTTTTTAGCTGAACTATAAAACCCGCTACATCTTTAATATGTAGCAGTTTTATTTATGCATTTCAAACCCGAAATTCTTATACGTGAATATTCTAAGATTGTATAAAAGGCACTAGCACCTTTTAACATAGATTTATAGTTAGAATATTCTCAAATTAAAAATGAAGAAATAATAAGAAAATATAATTTCTATCACATAAGATGTTATTCCATTCCTATGGCAACAATTATTAATATAACTATAAACACATATGCATACACACGTGGGATAGACTAAAAAAAAAAGTTTAAATAACTGTGTTATTGTTGTTTTAATCATTTGATTTAATCTAGAGTCCTATAAATTTAATGAAACAAACTATAATGTTACCAAATATTACGGAATTGCCATCTCTTTAAATTAGCGACATTTCACTACATATCACATTATATTGTTAAGATTGTTAACAGAAATTAACAAACTCGAGTGATAGAACTACCATATAGAACAACCGCCTGATGTATAACGTCTTCTTGTACTGAACATTATTTTGCGTTTGAAATGAAAATTGATTGAGTTTTGGTTTTCACCAGATGATGTAGATTAGCGGTTATTGATGACTTAGTTTCGTACGTATCAACCCAGCTGTTGTAAATATCCTTGACCTCTTTCTTGGTTTGTCCTGGCATGTACAGTTTTTTTATCACATCATTACCAGTTTCTTCTGTATTCAATTTTTAATTTTGAAACATTTTTTTAGTTTTTGAAGACGAATATATGTCACAGTTTTGCATTGGAAGGTTTCTTCAGGGGTGGCATTATCGTATGATAGACTGTTCACATGTTTATAAAAGACTCATGTAAAATAGATATGGACCTGATACAATATCATTGCTGGAAAGAACATGAGGCTCTCGGAACTTAACAGTCATCTGACTTTAAAGTTATACAATGTTCTATAACAGAAGTAGTGGTAACAGTAATTAAATAATAATAACAACCCGAAATTTTAGTAGTATAAATGACAACAAAATTTTCTTGACTTTAATCTCTCAACAAGGTTTTGCCTTAATGTCTTCAGTTGAACTTGATTTCTCCAGTATGTACACCTCAATACCCTATTCTAAATTGAAAGAACGCCTTCGTTCTCTTTTTAAAAAAGCTTTCATTTCCAAGAAAGGTGAACGACAGTACACATTTATGATTGGACCTATACTGAGGTGTATTTCATGAAAAACAGCCCAAATCAAAGTAGAAATATACGAAAGAAGAAAAGAAAAAAGATCAAATTTCTGGTTGACAACATCCTCATCGAGTGTAGTGGTAAGATTTTCCTTGTTTAATTTCACTTTCAGATATATTGTTAATGTCAAGACATGGCTTTATTAAGCGTTAGAGTCTTAGAATATCTCATTATTGTATTGTTGACGCTAATCCTCATCGCTGAGAACTGGTGTTATTTAGAAAGTATCTCGAAGTTGTATCGAGAATATTCTGACTTTCGGGTTAAACTTTGTTCTACATAGGAATGTACAGTGAATTGATATCGTTAAGGGCACCATTTGGCACTCGCATGTCAGAAATATCCCTGCCGTAACAATGTTACACTGTTTAATGAAAATAGGTTACATATTACATGTGTTACCCTGTCAATACTTATGTCAACTGTTTGTCATGTGTTAGCGGATGATTAGAGGATGCGCAGTTATAAATATTTCACAGACGTTTATCGTTTTATTAAGTCTCATTTGTTGTCACTGAGCTAAGTCATTCCTAAGCAATGTCTCAATAAATAGCTTAATTAATGTGTAAATGTGCAACAAATAATTTATTTTAACATATTTCAATGTCATATTAGAACGTTAAAAGGATTGGTAATTAAGTTTTACCAATTTAAAAGTGATTTCATCTTACAGACAGATATACAGTTATGAAATAACAGTAGTTAAATTATTAAACATTGGAGTGTGAAATATGACAATGTTAGACAATCATTGTATCATGTTTAGTACTACCTAAAGAGGGAGATAGACTGTTTGTTTATTTGTGTGTGTGTGTGTGAGAAGGTATTTGGTGGTGGTGGTGTGTGTGTTGGGTGAGAAAGTTTTTTTCTTTTGTTCACATCTGTATATGATGTATGTCATTTTGGACTGAGGAGCTGCAGTGCTCAAGGTAATATAGAATTGAATTGATCCCATAGACAGAGCAACCATTTTCACGGTGTAGCGTGGTGACCTCCGTCGCTTCAATTACATCCACTGTAACATAACTAGGTCTTTGTATAATGATGGTGAAGAATAAAACGGCCATTGTAACAACGTGTAGAGACCAGACAAGTGGAATGTTTAATGATTCATTGTAGAGGTTACAATGGACAACATAATAAACCGACTACAGTTAGTACACGAAATGTAATCGGAAGAAAGTAACAGTATATCTAAATTAAGAATTGTGTAGATGGAGATTCAGGTAAAGTAAATCTAATCAATCTATGTCGTCTTGTGGCTAAAAGTTAAATGATGTAAAGTACACTGTAACATTAATTACTCTTATTACTTCGTGTCTTTATTTACCCGTCTTCCGCTCTACCATTAGACGTATGTCTGTCCGTCTGTCCTTCTGTCAGGTGACCTAGATAAAGTATATATAAAGATTGAAGGAAATCAGTATGT